TTTTTTTTTTTACTGAGCTACCCTGGGGCATAAGGAGCATCTCTGCATGCAGTGCCCCTAACTGGCCACTGGGAGGCACTGTTTGACAGAAGCGACTGCAGCAGCTGTCTGGAGCCTGCAGAACGTCATCTTTCAATAGGGGAGTTGCATAGCTATAACTGTGTGAAGACCGGGCCAAAAATGCCAGTGTCCTGAACCCAGGATCCAGACTGTTGGCTGCACAGCAACACACAGAGCTCAGACCTCCACTGTCCCACTTTAACTCACCACTCTGGCCGAAGGGCTTTGCACCAGAAGACTCGGACTCATCCTGCAGAGAGAGAGAGGGCACGAGGGTGAGAGTCGAGGGACGAAGCGTAGAAGCCATGAGAAAGGAAGAGAGAAAAGGTTACCACTTGTGGGTCCAGGAGAGACTGAAAAAGCACAGTATCCGGGTCGCGGGACGGGGTGTGGGGGTACTCACATTGGCAGAATCCTCCTCCTTCTTCACTACAGGCTTTTCACTCTTGTTCACTGCTTTTCTCCTGAGGAAGAGCAATGAGGAAAGGCTTCAGCAGCAGTCTTCCCCAGCCCCTGGGACGGGCAAGTGATTATGGCATTCGCCCTTCCCTATTCCACTGTCCTGTCCTGGACTGGCATCTGTGTATTCACCAGCTCTGACTGAACGCCAGTTATGCGATTCACAACTTCAAGAACAACAACCTTCAGGACTTCAGATCTCTTTCCTTGCTGGTTTCATTTCTGTGCATTTCTCCAGAGTTCCTAAGTCACGGCTCAGCCCATCAGCCCAGAGTCTAAACTACTCTCCCTTTTCACAGTTCCCACAGTTCCCCCAGGATCAGCTCTCATTACTCTGCAGGACATTCTTAGATAAATTCAGAGATTTTCCACGGATGTATACATCTCTGTCCTCTTACTCATCCTGCTTCCGGTGTCCAAATCCCTCCACATGTTTGAATATCATTAGCCGCCCACTGTAAACAGACAACTCCGCAGCAGTGGATATTTTTCCTGTTCTCCCCCGGGCTGAGCGTCAGGCCCCTGTTACAGCCGCAAGACGCACTCACCTGCGGGCAAGGATGGCACTCATTTCGTCCATGAGCCCGCCTCCTCCTCCTCCTCCTCCACCACCACCGCTGCTGCCGCCGCCCCCTGCTGGTAGGGAGATGCTATTGCGGCCGTTGTCAGCTTTGGGCCCAGAGCCTGCCCCTGTGCTGTCTTCCTGCTGGCGGGGGGAGAGAGCAGCAATGTCGTCACACACGGCAGGGAGCTCAGAAAGCAGAGCACTGCTGTGCACAGTGGCCGTGCGAGAACACTCATCCGGAACTGACCAGATGTGCAGAACACCAGTTACATCTACAGCATTACTGCTGGGTTCTGAAAGATGTAATAAGGAGAATCAGACAACATAATCAACCAAGCTGGATCTAAAATATCATTATTATGAAGGCATACCAAGCTTCCCAGGACACAAAGTGTGTGAGAGGGGACATACAGCATCCTTTTATTTTTAAAATAGACCTGTCAGGCTGCTTACTGACACTTCAGCTGCTTAACTCAAGCAGAACACTACAGCAGAATAGTGTACAGAAAGATAAGGCTGTATTTTCTTGGCCTTTAAATTGGGTTGCCTGCTTTGCTGCACCTGACCCCTGACCTCTGACCCTGCCTTTACCTTGGCCACCTTTTTCAGCTTGGCTCCTGCCAGCGCCGCTGCAAGGCCAGAGGCGCCCCCGCCAGCCCCCGAGCCGGCTGCCGGTCCCGAGGGGAGAGGAGGGGCGGGAGGGGGGCCGACCCCTGAGGGAGGCGGGGGTCCTGGTGGGGGTGGGGGCCCTGGAGGTGGAGGGGGCCCGGGCGGACCAGGGGGGCCCCCTGGGGCTGGAGGAGGGGCAGGCGGGGCAGCTGAAGAAGAAATGGAGAGAAGGTAGAGGATCAACACATTTCGAACAGTCTAAAGCTGGCTCTCACTACTAAGGGAGTACAATACAATACAACCGAGGTCCTGCCCCCTGTAAAGGGGAGGACCAGCATTCCTGTTCTGCAAAAAGTGATTAAATGGAGTGAAGTCCTACTTCAGCACTTGTAGCCGATAACCACTTCCACTCCAGTCCTGGCCTGGGTTCTCTACTTTTACACCACCACAGGCCACACCTGTCGGAGTGCTCTCCTCACCTGGGACGGAGGCCTGTCTCTCCCTCTCCAGCCGCTCCCTCTCCAGCTGCTCCTGCCTCTGCTGCTCCAGCTGCAGCTGCCTGTGGACAGAACAGACATCAGGACCCCTCGACTCGGGGCAGGAGCACCTCCTCTCCAGGAGCACACAGGCTACAGAGAAATCCCAGCACTTAATTTCACAGCACTGCACTGCGAACGAGCAACACAGTGAACAGAATGGCTCAGAATAAAACCAGAGTCAGTCCCCGAGTCTCAGAATCCAGCTGGTTCTCTCTGACACTTTAGGGTAGAGTAGAACAGCTAATTGGAGCTGGTTTAACTGGATCAATCAAGTCTGAAAGAGGCGGAGGACTTGCTGGACTCTGGGACCTGAAGACCGGAGCCGAGAACAGCAGGCCGAGAGAAGCACACTCTTTATCACTGCACAAGTCTTCCCCATCGCATTCCAGGCCAACAGACCAGGCAGTCACTGCAAAGAACTTCGACCCACACCGGGTGTTACCAGTGCAGCAGGCTGACTCGTGAGGGGACTGCAGTGACGAGCAGGCTGCCCCTAGGGGCCGACATCGGCACGGCTGGCACTTGTGAATAGCATCACCTGCCGTACAGTAATTACTGGATTAAATGCTTGGAATGTTGAGATTCCCGCATGGGTCTGGGCTGACTGGGAATGTGGTCAAGGGTTTGCCCAGTTCTGGTAAAGCTAGTGAAACTAACAGGAATAGTAGCAATAACCGTAACGGTAACGATAGCAGTAGGAATAAGGGTCAGCAGGCTCAGGAGGTAGGCCCTGAGCACAACAATTTCAGGCTCCTTTTGAGCTCTCCTCCTCACATATTTGCATCAACAGATGCATGAAGTCAAAATGAGGTTATAAACACACCGACTGTCTGCTGCATCAGGAAGATTCATACAGATGCCAGTGAAACCAAAAACCTGAAATGGAGTCAGGTGCTGTGGAGCAGGACCTGTCCTATTGCAGAAGTGGCAGGGGGGAGAGAGAGAGAGAGAGAGAGAGAGAGGGGAGAGTCGAGGCAGTGCAGCCGCAGGAAGTGACAGAAGTTAGAAAGGCAATAACAGGAAACCGCTGAATCTCAGTGACCCATTATGGGCTGCTGTTTTTTTACTCTTACTCGGTACAACTCCTGTCTCGTGGCTTTGCAGTGAATCTGTGTCGCTCAGTTACCTTGCTGTGCCTGTCCGCTCAGCTCTGAAAAGCTCCTCTTTGTCGTGAGAAATCAACACCTGTATTTGCTCAGAGAGTGCTGCAGTATCAGGACTTATGCAAACCTGCTGCAGATCTCTCTCTACACTTGGGATCGGAGATCTGTGTCTCCCCCCCCCCCCCCACCCCTCCTCCCCTCCAGCCCACAGTGCACTGGCCCGATTCCCCGAGAGGATGCACAAGGCTCGGACTGGTGAAGTCGCGGGGAGCCTCCTAGCCAATTAATCCAGGAGTAACATTGCTGCCAAGCTGCGCCCGTGAGGCCCGACACCTGGAACCTGAACCGCAGGAGAGACGCTCATTGGCCCAGGCAAGACGGCTTGTCTGTCTTCTGAAGAACAACAGTTAAGCTATCCAGGCAGCAATCCTGCTAATGACACTCTCAAATTAAATCAGGAGCACTTACAGCCTCCTTTTACAGGAATACTGCTCTCTTCCCCTGCAGAGCCACTGGTATCTGCTCTCTGTGAATCTGGACTTGGCAGCAGAGCTCCTGGGAGTCACACTGTCTTAATGATTTCCCCTGTTCGACCGGGTGCTCAGCAGCGATGGACGGAGAGAGGCAGTGAAATCACGTTTCAAAATCTCAGACGTTCAAAACAAAGAACATCCCAATCTAGAACTGTCAAGAGGCTGATGCTCCCTTGATATTTCCTAGCGCGCAGCTGGTGCATCGTTCCGCGAGCCCTCAGCAAGCTGATCAACGTCCCAGGATTCGGAGCTGGGGGGGGGGGGCACGTCGCCAGCTGCACCACGGATCATCGACGCCACAGCCGGAGGGTCCCAGGCCAAACCGTACCCTGACCCAGGAGCCTCCGGGAAATGAGCCCATCAGCCACCGAGCCCCAGCCGGGCGCCGCAGTGGAGCCCCGTATCGTTACATCCGAGCTCACTTACAGGGTATTTCCAGGTGCGGGAGGAAGGGGGATCCCCGACAGCACGAACCCACACATCGCTCCTCCTCAGTCCTCGTGCTTTGCCCTCCGTATGGCCACTGACCCTCCGCGCCTACCTATCAGCACTCCTCCTCCTCCGCCTGGACAGGCCCTCCAGCAGCAGAGCAGATTACAGCTAAGCTGGGAGTGACCGGGGCTCATCAGAGGAGCCGGCCAGGGGGAGGGGTTGGGGGTGGATTTAAAAGTCAAGCATTAGGGTCTCATCCCGGCTTTGCTTCCCAGACGCACAGTTAATTCAACACCAGGGGACCAAAGAGCTCCATGCAGCACTAATGACATTACCACAGCTTGAAGTCTTCCAGCTTTAAGACGGAACAAAAGCTATTTTAGCAAAGGTGTGTGTGTGGGGGGGGTTGAAAATCCTAAGAGAAGTAGTGAGTAACCAGCTGGCAGAAGTTGAGCTGAACTCAGCTGAACTCTGCAGAAGACATCAGAAAGAGAGCACAAATCAGATTGCTTTCCCTTTCATTTCACCGACTGGTAACCACTCTGTGTCAGACAGAGAGATGCAGGTGCGGATGTGTGGGCTCCCCCACAAACACCATCGCTTGGTACCTTCTCTGCTGCTCCAGCTCCTCTGGGGACGGTCCATTCTGCATGGTGCGGGGGGAAGGTGGGAACCCTGTCCAAGAGAGGGAGCAGTTTTAGGAACGGCACTTCATGCGTGTTAAAATTGCACAGTATTTGTATACAATGCGTCCAGCGCAAAGTTAATTAGGATTTCTTCAGAATAAACATTTACCAATGAACACAAATGCATCGAGAACAAGAGGCACTTTACATAAACAGCTGTGGGAGTGTGGAACAAACTATCCAGCCATGTTGCTGAAGCCAATACCTCTTTAACAAGATGACTGGGTAGCTTGTTCCACACTCCCAACACTCTTGGTGTAAAGTCGTGCCTTCTGCCCTGATTACAGGATCTCGCCCAGCCATTTCTTGAAAGAAGACAGAGTATCGGCTTCAAGAACATGGCTGGGTAGTTACAGTACACGACAAAAGCAACAGAATTTTAGTTCCAATTCTGTGCAATGTTCTTTTGTTACATATTTCTGTCACATATTACAAATCTACGTCTGGAGAAAATTTGAGAAACGTCTCCACAAATGACTAACACCTGACAGCTACAAGGTGTGGTGGACATTGCAACAACGCAAAAGATTTAAAGATCAACTTTTAAATCTAAGAGCGCAGAAACGATCTATTTCGGCTCTGCCGGTTTCGGTGGCGTCTGGAACAGTGAAAGCAACAATACCACGCGTGTGTGAGACACGGCCCTGGCAGAGCGTCATGGGACCTACCAGGGTCAGGCGCAGTTGCCAGCAGCTCCAGGGCGTGCATCATCCCGTTGGCAAACAGGGTAGCGTCCTCCTTGCTCCCGAAGTTGAGGCCCCAGACCTGCCTGGCGTCTCTCCACTGGTGGAAGTTGGGGGTGGCCTGGTTGTACTTCAGCCCCTTCACGATGGGGCAGTTAATGACCACCTGCAGGCGAGGCGCAATGATTCAGCTCCCCACCACTGGTCGCTCTCTCCACAGACGCCAGCCCCGACACGAGGCGGCCAGGAGTGAAAGGAGCTACAGACGGCGGCTGGCAGGGCCATCGCCGAGCTGGAAAATACCGTCCAGGGAGTAGACTGGGGCGCCTCCAGTAAGACCCCCACATTCCCCTTCCTCACTATGAGGAGGAGCAAGAAAAAAAGCCGCTGTGGGCGGTTCAGACTGGAGGACTGAAATCCAGGGATGTGGCGTTTAAAGAGGACAGTACACATGACCTCATTTGGACAATATGATCACAAGACGTGGAAGTACAAATCTGCTTTGGAACCTGTCCACAGAAGAGCAAACAGGCCCATTCCTGGGGCTTAAAGGAGTGGCTCACGCTGACAGTCGACGAGAACAGAGTCTTTCTAGTGCTGAACAGAGGAGACAGCAAGGGGACTGGATTAGAGTATTCAAAACCCTCAACGGCCCTGCCAAACTCAACCCACCAGGGAGCCCCTGAACACTGAAACCAACCAGAGGAGACAAGAGAAACCACACGGAAGGGCATTAAATACCAAGAGACATTTCCTTATGCATAGGGACGAGAGAGAGTGAGGAACTGAGTACTCAGCCATGTGGACTTGGATAATATCTTGACTTCCTTTAAAAAAAGCCAGAAGGAGACCCTGGGATCACTCAGATACCAAGGACCAGATGTTCTCAACCTGAAGTTCCTCCCCATGTTCTTATGGAAAAATCCCCGACGCAATTAAAGAAACTGACAAAGTGATCCAAGCTCAGAAGGCTTTACAGACGGATATTTTACCGGATGCAATAATAAAGAAAGCCACTAGGTGGAGGCAAAGTGGGCAAAGTCGAGCAAGTGCAGCTCTGCTGTGCAATCCGCGCCCCGAGGTGTCGTGAACCAGCCCAGGCCCTCAGAACCAGTTCATTCCCAGATTGCCACACAAAGGAAACGGAAGGAAATTTTATTCTGCAAATTACACATTTGTAGCCAGTTCCCTTTTTCCGTTCTACCTGTGAGCTTAAGCGGTGCAAAAGGGGAAACTGTAGAAATAAAGTAATTCAGGGAAGTTCTTCGCTTGTCTCCAATTCCTGAACTATGCAGAAATATGTTGATGTTTTTTGTCTTTGAACTATGAAAATCATCTGAATAGTTATGCTTCTTTGTGTAACTCTGAAGGCCTTTCTGAAGCAGATCTATGGCAAGAATGTTTTTTGCTACAGTTGTACAGTGTACTGGGATGCCTTATGAAAGGCACTATATGATAAAAACTCCAAATATAAATGAAGCCATCACTCATCAGTAATAACCACTATCATGAAACTATGACAAAGGCACTGAGGCCCCCGGAGGTCGCCGAGCTCAAGACCCCCAGCCTGACCCGTTTCCTGAGGGGTTCTGGACCCGAGCAGCCGGCTTCAGGATACCGGGAACGTCCTGGCCTCGGAGCCCGCGCCAGGCACCCGGAGACGGTCCCGGGAGCACACACGCAGGTGCGCGACGAGCGCCACGCTCGGTCACAGGAAACCACGGGCGCTCTCACGCCACGCAGGACTCCCCAGAGAGGCGCCCGGCGCTCGGCTGGCACACAGGGGGGCCGGCGTCAGCTCGCGGCACTTCTCCGAACACCAGGAGCTACAGGCAGACACCGTGCCACCGATTCTGTTCTGAAGGGGAAAGACCCGGACTGGAGCTCTGCATCAGCAGCTGGAGGACTGTCTCTGGGAAGCAGACGGACGGGATTCTTGGGCCTGCTAGCAACCCGACAAACGAGACGAGCGTCCGCCGTGTCAAGTCAGATCGGCAATCGGCCAACGGCACACAAGCATCGCCGGCGCACACACAGCGCACAGCAGCAGACCCCGGGGGCTGGGGGCACATTTACCGGGGTAAACCTTGCCAGCAGTGAGTACGAGGCCCGGAGCCGGGGGTGTTGCCCCGGCCTGCTCCAGAGAGCGGTACCGTACCTGCTGGTCCGGCTGCATCTTCCGCCCCACCACCCGGAAGGTGTTGGCACTGGGGTTGTGGTAGATCTGCACACGGCTGAAGGTCTGGGGGCCGGTACCCGCTGGCACCCACTTCTTGTTGGCGTCATCGTAGATCATCACCGTGGCGCGAGCCTGGCAGATGCTGGACTCGCTGCGGGGCAGAGGGAGAGAGAGACGGGATGGGTGACTTTGGGCAGGCAGGCAGGCCATCGACTCGAGACCAGCAGGGCACCAGGGCCACCTCCTGCAGCTGGCGTGACGAGAGGGAGCCGCGCCAGACGCAGAGGGCACTCTGACTGCCCTCGGCCATTACCTCCTGCACCAGCTGCAGAGGTCCAGACTGGACTGCACGTACGGTACCTAGCCAGCCACATCTTAACTACTGGGGCGAACGGCAAAGATCAGAAGCTGGTTAGTGTTTGCACCTGCCCATTCCAAGCCAGCTACCACAGAGTCGTTCGCAGCTTTAAAAGTGACATACGGCAGGTACAGCGCACGACAGCGTTGTTTCCTCAAGGCACAAACTCGCCTGGCAGGTCCCCACTACCTGGTCAGCAAACGGGACCTCTTCTGCAGCCTGCTGCCCGTCACCCCAAATCCGAACAGTGAGCTCAGACTGGGGGAGTGGGGCACTGCCAGTTCTCAACTGTTGCCAAATCTCCTGTTTAACAGCTCGCCAACAGCACAAGCCACGCTGGCACAAACTCTCCCACAACACATGGGGGGTGATGGCCAGAGCTCCCCGCGTTTCCACCAGCTTGCTAGCAGCAGTGTCTGTGTAGCTCCGGAACAAGCCCAGCGCCGTTCGAGATGTAGCTTGGTTTTTTTTTTTGAGTAGGAAACCATTACATCAAAAAAACACGATTCACATCCGAAACCCGGGCTACATGAGATGCTCTCTGTCACGCTGGCTGCTGAGCCCGGGGCCCGTCCAGACGGACGCAGGCTGGGCTCAGCCCCTCCCAGGGCGATGGCATGTGGCAGGGCGACGCACTGGCAGACAGACAGAGCGAAAGGAGCAACAGGCTCGTACCCCCTGTCCTCGCACAAGACCGCAAGCGAGCAGACGAGAGACGGGCGAGACGCGTGAACGCTGTGGCAGGGGTATCAGCCCCCCCCCTCCCCAGCCCAGAGACCCGCTGATCTAATCTGCTGCTTCCTCTGACTCGCTCTGCTGCACCATCGTCGGCTTCCTGCCTCTCCAGCACGCTGCCAAATAAGGGCCTGAAGCACAGCGCAGGCACAGCGCCGCGGCTGACACAGGCCTGGGGGCCACACTCTGGGCGACTACGGGGGCTCCCCGGCCTGGACACGGGTACGAGACCGCACCGATGAGCTGAGGCTCCTCCTGAAGGGCTGTCTGAGGCTCGGCGCAGACTGACTTGTTCTGGCCGACTGCCCAGTTTGTTTGTTTTGGATCAGGGTTTTTTTGACGATGAAGAAACACGCAGATGGCCGAATTAGCCCAAGTGTTGCCACACTGGGGATGTGGTGTGAAGCCTTCTAGCTCTCTCGCCCCCCAAAAATGAAAGAAAAAATCATTTTGAACAACCTGCACCCTCCCCCCTCCGGCCCTGCACAGTGTGACAGCAGGAAGGCCTTGTTCAGAAGCGCATGTACAATGCTGGTCACTGCGTTAGAGAGGAGGTATTGCTGCTCTGGAATCTGTCCAGAGAAGGATCATCGGCTCCATTCCAGGGGTTGAGGGAGTGGTCTACACAGACACACGGGAGAAACTGAACCTTTTCACTCCTGAACACAGAAGACTACAAGGGGACCTCAGTGACCAGGTCAATCTAGCAGACTCCTGCAGCAATAACAACAAAACACGCACCAGAGGGCACAAAGGGAAACCCCATGAGAGTGCTTTTAAACCCAAGCAAAGGAGGCACTACTTTACACAAAGGGTCGTGGGAGTGTGGAACAAGGTATACAGTCACGCCGTTGAAGCCAACAGCCTGGCTTCTGTCTGGAATCATCTGCAAGAGACCCTTGGATCAATCAGCTACTGACGAGCTCAACGGGACGAGCAGTCTTCTCTTATTTATTACTTCATTCTCCTGATGGAAAGGATCGTGCTGGCCCTACTATGACCCGTTTTGTATTTTAATATTCATTAATCATTAACTGTTAAGCTCTAAAACGCACCCCGACACACATGGATATTAATCCAAATAGAGAAAAGGAACAGATCGCGTTAATATTTAATTTGTTTGTGATCCAGCGCAGGTAAATCGGAGGGATTCAACCGAAAGAAGAGTGAGCTGCTGAGCTGGAGCACAAAGCTCCAGCCTGTCCTGCAGGAGTGTCTACAGTGTCAATCGATTGCAAAGATGGTCTTTTGTTGACTGGCTTTTCCTGCTCTCGTTAAGCATGCCAATTCCTAAATGTCTGGGTACCATGCAGAGGTCTGCTCAGTGCTGAATGTTATTCGTATCCCCACTGCTTCAAGGTCTTCTATCGCCTGTGCCAAGTTGCCCCGAGTTTAACAGCAAATCAAATTAAGTAAAAAGTCCTGACGTGCTTGTTATTTTATCTGGTTATCCTACTGAAGACGCCAGGGAATCTGGAAAAAATGAGAAGCATTCCCTGCCTACAAGAGTGGTTTCTGGCAAGACAGCACTGAACAGATCACAATGAGCTCCCGGACCAACTTGAGATTCTAGGGTGCTGCCCTTACCAGGGGTACGATTCAGCCTTCTTCATCGGACAGAACCCCCAAAAATACACGTACTGTAGATGTCGGCAAAACGAGGGCTTAAAGCAGCCCTGTTCCTGGAGAGCCCCGGCTGTCGAGTCATTCTCGACTCCCCAGCGAAGCAGTTCAGGTCCAAAACTAGAACGAACGCCCTCTACCGACTAACTCCACTGCTGGACAGGGATCCGGAAAGAGAGGACAAGGCTCGGCTTCTAGTAGTGAAATAACCAGCGGAAGGGCCGGAGTGCCGCAGTAGAAGGAGCGAAAAGGTCAAAATTGAAGCCAAGGGGAGGAAGCAAAAAACTGGGAGGCGCGGGGGGGCTAGATTTGCAATGCAAACATTTCCCAGAGCGCAAAACACAGGCCCTCCCACACACGAGCACGGCTGGCCGGCGGGGGCGGCCCCAAGCCAGCCTCGCCCGCTGCCGGGGCCGCCCTGCTGGGAGACCCCC